GCTAAAATAAATAAATTCATTCTCAAAATATATAAAAAAATAATAATTATTCGATATTTTAAACAAAGAAAATTACTCCTTGATTTAATTTCCTAAATACAAAATGCCATTGACAATTACTGGGGCCTGATAATTCACAATTAAGTAAATATCTGCTTTCATTTATAGGTAGGTATTGTTTATAGTTGGCGTATACGTATGGTTTGCATACTTCACCTACAAACTGCTTTATAACTATTGAACACATACTTATTGGCCTCGTTTGCCAGTTGAATAAAAAATTACTTAATAAGATTCGGAGGCCCCCTAAGAGACGGGGTCCGGGGCGGGGTCCATGTTGAGTTGCAAAATTGAGAATAATTATATATAACGAAACTTCTATTCAACAGTTTTAATTGAAATAATTTTATTTCCTACTAGCGTGTAAACCCGCGACTTCGTTCGCGTCGAATCAATCATCAAAGCAAAGCAAGAATTTCCCTTCACACACAAACTGGATAAAATTTTCTCACATTTATGTCAGCATGAGAAAAAACAATATGGCGATATTATTATATAACTTGGTAATATTTGAGGGGTAGTTTCATCTCGTTGGAATTTGACTTTCGAAAAATCCGTTTGCCAAAAATAGGCTTTTTACGTCAAGCAGTTTAAGCAGAATCGTGGTTAATCAATTACCCAACTTTTTGGAACACCATGTATGATTTTTTTTTAAAATTTCAAAATATGTAAAAAAACAAAATAAATTATGCGTGTCCCAGCGTTTTCCCGAAAGACTAACCGTTTTTTAAATAACAAATATTGTAATATTTGAGGGGCGTTTTCACCCTCTCAGAATTTGAGATTTGAGAAACCCCGAACCTCTACACCCCACAGTCAATCCGTTTGCCAAAAATCAGCTTTAAACGTCAAACAGTTTAAGCAGAATAATTGTGATTACTCAATGGTCATATTTTATGAAACACCTTGAATAAATTTTTAAAAAATCTTAAAATATGTAAAACAACAAAATAAAATATGCGCATTTAAGAGTTTTTCCGAAAAAGTCACCTGTTTTTAAATAAACAATATTCTAATATTTGAGGGGTGGTTTCACCCCCTTAGAATTCGAGTTTCGATAAATCCCTTCTTATCGAACCTCTACACCCTAAAGTCAATCCGTTTTCCAAAAATCAGCTTTTTACGTGAAGCGCTTTAAGCAGGATCGTGATTAATCATTAACTAGATTTTTCGAAACACCCTCTATACATTTTTAAAAAATCTTAAAATATGTAAAAAACAAAATAAAATATACGTGTTTAAGCGTTTTTTCGGAAACTGGACCGTTTTTTAAATAAAAAATATTGTAATATTTGAGGGGTGGTTTCACCCCCTTGGAACTGGAATTTCGAAAAATCCCTTCTTATCGAACCTCTACACCCTAGAATCAACCTGTATGCCAAAATTGGGGTGCAAGGGGTATTGAACAATGGGGTGCAAGGGGTATTGAAGCTATACATATAGCCTAGCTTACCCAAAAGTCAACCTCACCTTCACGTATATATATATATATATATATATATATATATATATATATATATATATATATATATATATATATATATATATATATATATATATATATAATATATATATATATATATATATATATATATATATATCGCTCCCTCGGACCTACCATCTTTCTGGGGAAGAGGAGTAGTGAACTGCTCCTAGCCGGCCGAGAACGTAGCACAAGGGAACTATCGTCGCGGTCCTCACTGTGCCATAGCCATCCCGTGCTACAGTTGCAGCCAAAACTGTGCGGTAGCGGAACCGTCACAGTTAAACCTCTTCACGCAGCTTACACACATCAATGATGGAACATTCGAGTGGGACAAAATCATCATCTGGAGGTAAAATACCCCCTCAATCGGATCTCCGGGAGGGGGTGTCTACTCGAGCGTATCATCGGAGAAACAAAAAACATCAATGTTTCACGTTTGCGGCGTGGAACGTCCGCACTCTACTGGACAGGACAAACTCCAATCGACCAGAGAGAAGAACAGCACTGGTCTCACAGGAACTCCACCGGCTAAATATAGATGTTGCCGCTCTTAGCGAAACCCGCTTTGCGGATGAGGGTAGTCTCACTGAGGAGCATTACACCTTCTTTTGGAAAGGTCACCCCCGCAACACACACAGGGGAATTCATGGCGTAGGTATTGCAATCAAGAACGAAATTGCAACCAAATTAACAGAAGTACCTATTGGTGTCTCCGAACGCCTTATGACCCTAAGGTATCCCATATCAGACAAAACTTACGTCAACATCATTAGTGCCTACGCTCCCACCCTAGACGCTAAAATTGAGGATAAGGATAAATTTTACCAAACTCTACAAAATGCTCTCCAACGAATTCCGAAGAACGAACGAATTATCTTGCTAGGTGACTTTAACGCCCGTGTCAAGAGTACGCCACGCATCACGATTACCGTAAATTCTTCGAGGCTGTAAAAGAAGTATACGGCCCAACCAAGAAGGCAAGCTGTCCAATCATGGCACAAAATGGCGAACTTCTAAAAGAGGAAGAGCAAATCAGAAACCGTTGGAAAGAGCCTGCACCCACATATAGGAAAAATCCTTCCAGAATCGCAAACGGGTTTTCCCACTAACCGGGGCACCGTCGATTCCATATTTTCCATCCGCCAACTACAGGAAAAAGTAAAAGAACAGCAGTCTAAACTTTATGTTGCATTCATCGACCTAACAAAAGCCTTCGACTCTGTAAACAGAGATGCACTTTGGGCAATTATGAAAAAGTTCGGAGTACCCAACAAATTTCTTACAGTGTGTAAAAGCCTCCATAACAACAACCAGTCAAGAGTGTCACATCATGGATCACTAAGCGATCCCTTCATGACAAATACAGGAGTTAGGCAGGGATATGTCTTAGCGCCTCTCCTATTCAACATATTCATGGCAGCGCTCTCCATTATAGTGGACAGCAAACTGCAGGAGAGAGGATTGGGCATTAGATACCGATATGACGGCGGTCTGTTCAACATAAAAAGACTCAGGGCAAAAACACGTACAAAATTTATCACAGAACTTCAATACGCTGACGACTGCGCTCTGGTTGCAAACACGGTACAGCAATTACAAGAAATGTTGAACACATATACCTAGGCATACGAGGCTTTGGGCCTTAAGCTAAACATCGACAAAACTAAAATCATGTGCACTCCCGCGGAAGATCACAACAATGCTATAAAAATCGGAGAAGAACTACTGGAATATGTAGCGGAATTCAATTATCTCGGCAGTTTGATTTCGGAAAAGGCCAATATCGACTCTGAAATTCAGCACAGGATTAGCAGCGCTTCAAGAGCATTCTGGAAATTAAAAGACAGGGTTTTCTACAACCATGACCTGAGCACAAAAACGAAATTTGCAGTGTACCGAGCAATAATAATCCCCACCATGTTATATGGGAGCGAAACCTGGGTGCCGTACCGCCGACACATGAACGCATTAAACAAGTTGCAACAGAGACACCTTAGACAACTCTTAAGAATCAAATGGTTCCATCACGTCTCAAACGTATCGGTTCTTGAAAAAGCTAACTGCGAGAGTATTGAAGTCATGGTTACAAAATCCCGACTAAGATGGGCTGGTCACGTATGCAGAATGCAAGAAAACCGCATACCAAAATCACTGCTTTACGGTGAGCTTGTAGACGGTAAGAGGAGGTCAGGTGGACAACTCAAAAGGTACAAGGACATTTTCCATGAAAACTTAAAGGGGATTAATGTGCAGAATGAGTGGGAAGTAGCAGCTCACAATAGAACTCAATGGAGAAGAATTGTAAACTTAGTTAACAGCGAGAACCAAAAAGTTAAGAGGCAACAAAGCAATGAGATTTTTGAATGTCCGGAGTGCGGTAGACAAATAGCATCACGTATTGGGCTTTTCAGTCACAGAAAAGCTCATGAAAGAAAACGCCTTGCGTGACCATCTTCTGATGCGTGTCAAATATTCGTCAGCGAGTAATGGCAGTATGTAGTATGTATGTATGCCAAAATTGAGCTTCTTACGTTGAGTGGTTTGAGCAGGATCGTGATTAATCAGTATGTCAGTCACTTAAGGATTTATATATTAGTATAGATAATACCTAGATTATCAACTATGGTATTATTATAATCAATATTTTCTCTAAATTCTCATTCCTTAACTTGAATAATACATTTAGATTTTTATAATTTCATTATGTATCATGAATGCAATGCGATAGGCAATGCTATCCCAAAAGAATACAATAAATTTAGAAATTAGCGTCTTACAGAATGATACAATATATTATAATATCCACTGTCATTAATCAAGAGTATCGTTAGTATCTAATTCAACGTTGTTAAAATAAAAGTGCCTATATACATTTTTACGAACTTAATTATTAAAAGGTGATAAGTAATACACATTAGATCATTAATCACAAATAAATATAACTGAAATATTAAATATGTCTAAGTAAATTTCTCATTAGGTATTAAGTAGTATAACAAGTAGTAACTACAAAATATGGAACATCATTAATTTCATTGAATAACTTTCCAATGAAAATATTAAGCTAATTGGTAAAATAGATACAACATTGTGTGTAAAAAACTTAATTACTTATTATAACATATAATGACCAAATTTATCTTCAAAGAAAAAAATTATCATATTACAGATTATAATGTACTAAGATAGTAAAAGAAATACTAAGAAGCATTTTTAAGAAGATTTTGTTTGGGTTGGGTTGAATTAAATCAATTATTACAGTTGGAGGTTAAAACCTTTGCTGTTACAGCAGCAAAATAAAACACTAATTTACCACAGCACACCAAAACGCTTTACTTTTAAATATTGGAAAAAAAATAAAACTATATGGCATAGTCCGATTCAGGGAAGATGACGATTGCATCATAATGATTATTTTAATAAATTAGCAGAGAAAAACAATAATTCAGTTTCCATGGGTTATAGAGCCTGGAACAAAGTTTTTACCCAAGAACAGGAACAGATTATGGAAGATTATATCGTGAAGGCAGCCAACATTTATTATGGTTTTTGCCCTAAAGAAATTAGAAAGTTTGCATATGAATTAGCCGACAAATATAAGTTAGCAATGCCACCCCACTGGAAAGATAAGCAGATGGCTACAGAGGACTGGTTCAGCAGATTTATGAAACGACATCCACAGCTCTCGTTACGGTGCTCACAACCAACTAGTTTATCTCGTGCGACCAGTTTTAACGAAGGCAATGTTAATTGTCTCGGACAATTATGGACAAATACAAATTCGAACCTAAAGACATATAGAACGTGGATGAGACGGGCATCACCACAGTCCAAAAACCAAATAGAATTGTGACTAAAAAGGGAACACGACAAGTGGGAGCATTGACGTCCGCCGAGCGTGGAACATTGGTCACGTTAACCTGCGCGGTAAATGCTGTTGGAAATGTTGTACCTCCAATGTTTATATATCCGAGGATTCGGTACCAGGAACATTTTATTCGGGATGGGCCAATTGGAAGCACTGGCACCGGAAACGCAAGTGGTTGGATGCAAGACACTGAATTTCTAAAATATTTACAACATTTCCAAAAATATGCATCTGCAACTATCGATCACAGAGTTCTCCTACTTCTAGACAATCATGCGTCTCATATTTCTATTCAAGCCCTGGACTACTGCTCTGAGAGCGGTATAGTGGTATTGTCTTTCCCGCCTCATTGTTCACACAAGTTACAACCGCTAGACCGTTCTGTGTATGGGCCTTTAAAGAAGGCAATTAATTCTGGCTGCGATGTATGGATGCGAAGTAACCCAGGGAAAACAATGACGATAAAAATATATCCCATCCATAGTAACTACAGCCTTTCCGATGGCGCTGACATCAAGTAAAATTCAGGCAGGCTTACGGGAATATTTCCCTTTAATAGACATATATTTACCGCCATAGACTATGCACCCTCTTACGTGACAGATCGGCCTGCAGCAGCAGCTGAGCTAAGAAAAGATGAAGTTAATAAGGCAAATCCAGAAAATGTAGAAAATGACCCTACAACACCTGACGAAGCGAGAAATAAACACGAAGTAACTCCGCCACCGATACCAGTTTCAGATGAACCTGTAGCGTCAACTTCAGGACTTCAGAAATTTGCACCGGAGACAGTCAGACCTTTCCCCAAAGCTCCACCCAGAAAACAAGAAAATAAAGGACAAAAAAAAAGAAAATCGGCTATATACACGGATACCCCTGAGAAGGAAGACATTAGGGCAGAATACGAAGAAAAGAAGAAAAGAAGAAAAAAACTGTTAAAAAAATTTTTTGTGAACCTAAAATAAAACCAAACAATCCTCCTAAAGGGAAAAAGCCACAGACAGAAGAAAAACAAAGAAGAGAGCGACGAAGAAGATGAAGAATGTTTTTGCCTTGTATGCTTCGAACCATACGCTTCAAGTAGGCCAGAGGAGGGTTGGGTGCAATGTATTGAATGCTAGCATTGGATATAAAGAATGCACAAAACAAGAAGCTTTATATGTTTGTCAAAATTGTGACTCAGAGTGAAAAAAAAATAGAATTTATTTGTTCATTAGGTTAAGTGTACTATTTCAGTAAAAAAAAACAAGTTTTTCTTTTAATATTTATAGGAATACAGTTTTTTTTGTTGTCTATAGGTACACGATTTTTTACGACTTTTGTACCTGCATTAAATAAACCTATATTGTTGTTACATTGCTTAGTTTTTTTCACACTGTTACTATCGACCCCGCTTAGTGTTACAACCGCCCCGGACTTGGGGGCGGTAGTAACATTTTGCACCATTTTAATTTTTGGTTAATAACTAGTAACCATATTTATTTAAAAATCTTAATGACATGTTTTTAAATTTATAAAAGATACAAATAACGCATGAACAACCAAATTTGTTCATATCTATTATAGTTCTCCAGATATTGGTTTTTGAAATAAAAATGTTACTTTGGACCCCGGTCTACCCTATTATATTAATTATGTTTATATGTAGTTTCTGTAAATATAAAGCCAGCTTTCTTAGAAAACACGATCTCCATTAATTATAATTATTTGTATTTTAATTTTAGCGATCTCTTTATGGAAACATAATTGTTCCATGATCTCTCTACATGTCTCTAAGTATTATTTATTCCTTCAGACTGTGTTTTGGAGGACAAATTTAATAGAGGATCGGACTAGAGGACTCTATATATGCATAGTTTCTAAGTTGGTAAGTTGACTGTTTTGATTACATACGTTTTTCTTGCGTGTTTTTTTTTTATTTTGTACCTAATCGCAGTTTTGTTCCTATTTTGGTTAAGCGCAGAATTCCAGTAAGGTTCTTCTAGACAAGAAGAGATGCAATGTGTATATGGGCAATACATACATAAGTTCTGTTTTGTGAGTTTTTATTAAACTTTATAATAAATATTATCATTATGAACACGTGTTTTATTAAATTTATTAATTGCTTTGTGAATTTAAAAAAGTAATTGTAAAATAAGATAAGGAATACTAATAGAAGATACCAACATTCACTCAAATGACATGCGCTCTGTTGAGTTAAAAGAATAAAGACTTTTTTTAACGTACGTCTTTTGCTATTTTGGAATGAAGATTTAAATCACAAATCATTTAGGAAATTACTTAAGGCTTAACTCAGCTTTCGAAAAATGATTTAAATTATTAAAATGATTTAAACCAAAAAAGTGAGGTTGCAGCTCTGATAGTACGTCGAAATTATGCTTTGTTTGGCCTCTTGGATTACTAAATATGACATCCTTACCAGAAGTTCCTTTAGATCTATTTAACTTTTTTTGGTCCATCGTTGGACATAGGCCTCCCCCAATCTCCTCCACTCTCCTCTGTCTGTCGCCATGCTCATTTTGGCACCTGCGTGTTTCCTCAGATCGTCCAACTATTTCATTTGAGGTTTTCCTCTGTTTCTTTTATTTTCCCAGTCTAGATAGATATCTCCTAGAAAATGGAAAAAAGTTCATACTTAAACCCAAATTTTGATTGCTACGATTAAATCGAATTGGAAAAACGAACATATGCGTATATTAAATGAGCGCGACTGACACTCGCAGCCATTAATCATCGAATAAAAAAGAAATCGTTTCTGACGTTACGAGAGGCCATTCCGTTGCGGCGGCGGCAAGGCAAGAAGCCAATGGAATCGCTGAAAGTGGCAGAGCGAATGTTGGAATTAAATTAGGTTTCATGTTAGAAGCGAATTAACTCCTTTTCTTGTTTAACGAGAAACAGTTAAGTCTCAGAAATAAATGAGAACTTAAAGGCCAGTTAAAGCTGCTTTAAATTAGTTAAGAAGTAATTGCGGCCGGAGCGGATTAAAGAGCAGCGTTTGTTTGCACTTTTGACTGTACGCTCATTTCTGCGCCAATCCTCATTAAATATCAGTTAAACTTTTTAGGTTTTCGAAAGCAAGTCGATAAATCATTTTTATTTAGTCGTCGTTAACCGCGTTTTATATGTCTATATTTCTTATTTTATGAGGACCTCATCGTATATTAACCTTAGGGTCGCGTTCTTTCAATTTTTAAATTTAGATAGTGCCACTACAAGAAAATCACAAATAAGGAAAAATAGGTGCCTTCTTCAAATCTCTCCGTCAATCTATTTATTCTTATCCGAACACTTTTAAGGCTATCGAATGGCTTTAATGTTCTACAAGCAGATGTTTACTCCATAAAGGAACCGGCCGGTTGATACGAGAGAAAATCGCTCATAGACCAATAGGGGATATCGTGATATACCCTGACAGCTTGGGCGCTTTAAGAAGCATCACCATGCAATCAGTGAGATCGAAAACTGTGATGGACAAGAAGCAGAGAGACTCGCCAAAGAGGGGGCCAGGGGAAAGGCCGTGGCAGATGACCCACCACCGGTGACGATCAACACACTGAAGGAAGCTATAGGAACTACCATAAAGCTGCCAAGCAGCAAGAGACGTGGCAACACCGTGAGGACTGCGATAGAGCTTGAAGACTGTGGCCAGTGGTAGATAGCAAGACAACTGCTAGAACACAAAAAGAACCTAGTACGCATAATTATAGGTGTCATCACTGGAAACTGCCCCACGGAGGTAAACCTCGTGAGATGGAAGATTTCCAACGACGACTACTGCAGAGAATGCGGAGAAAGAAACCATAGAGCACCTGCTGTGCTACTGTCCGGCACTGGGATACCGACACTTTAAAACTTTAGGGCAATGTTTTTTGGAGAGACTAATGCAACTTTGCAAAGAGCTGGAAGTGCTTTAACGCAAAGAAAAAATGAAAGGAAGGTTTGTACAATAATACCGGGGTATCTCAATGGGCCCAAGGCCTCCGAGTGAGGGATCAAACATGATCCCAAACCCCAGCAATCTAACCTAACCTAACCTATCCGAACAGTTTCATCTGTCACTTTTTTGAATTTTGTCCTAGTACCAGTGCTACTCATTTTAACCTTCTTATTTTGACGTTTGTCTACTTTATTTTATCTTGATTTTGATATCAGCTTATAGGAAATCTACCTAAACTGGACAGTACCTTCACATGTAGTGACAATTATACCGTATGATCAAAAAAAAACGGCGTCCAGTTGGCTTGAAAATGACGATCAACGACTACTATCCCCATATAATTTAACATATAAAATGACAACGATCTTCATTTCATAGCCATAGCCACCGCCGATTTTTTTCGATTATATTGTATAATAAACGCACATCGTGAACGCACAGTTCGTGAACCCTCAAACGTAGTGCATCTTCTTAAGAAAAAAAAACGAATTTAAATGTTGTCATTATTTCATTAATTCCCATTAAAAACATTTCGTGCACTGAAAAAATTAATGTGTGAATTTAATAACAATATTGAGGGTTATTTCTTCTCCCAGATTATTGTAGTAAATTTACCATAGTTTTACCGTTGATTGAAAAAATAATTTCTACAATCAACGGTTTTACAAATCGTTTGTAAAATCGCGGTGTGGCTAATTTCTGGCATGTATGTAAATATGTTACAATATATCATATATATATATATATATATATATATATATATATATATATATATATATATATATATATATATATATATATAGAGATGGGTAGTCTACGCGACTGACTAGTTAAGATATTATTTTATACTAAAATTTGTATTACATTTCTCTCTTTTTTGAGATCTTGCTTTTCTTTTCAATTCTAAAGTAAATTCTAGTCTGGTTCTATGTAAAGAAAAACTTTTTCTTTTTACTTAAATTAATTTATCAAGTTGTCTAATGCCTGTTTTCTCAGTGTAGCATTGATGTTATATTGCGCATGGTCGATCTCGCTGATGAAACGAACCAATGTGTCAAAATATTTCTATGTAGTTGTTTCTCTTTCACTCTTTTTATTATATACATAAGTTTATCCTTTTTTACTTATCAAGAGTAACATATTTTACCTTTTTTGAAACTATGGTGTTCGTTAGTGAACGATCGGCGGTGCTAACAAAAACGCACTTTACTGTAAAGAAAATCTTGAAAATTAATTCGTTTCTTTTGTCTTTTGAGATTTACAATAAAATAATTAGATCGTTCATGAAGCAAAGTTAATTGCTATTTTATTTTAAGATTTTTGACATGCAATTTTCGCGCTTTGACTTTGTACTCACATACACGTTGTATTGTTTTTTATAAAGTTTTTGTAGTTAGTTTTCACGTGTATTTTAAAAGTTGATTTTTACTACTGCATTTGAGAAATGAGGATTCTTTTGATTGTTGAGCAATGTTGTAAACTTTACCATAATCCCACTTTGGTGAGTTGCATTTTAATAGTTTTTTACAAGAATAGAAATTGTATTTAATTACTATAATTGTAGAAGAGTCCTGAAGAAGAGAACAACTGAATTCTCGAAAGCTTGACTAAACAATAAAGGGTTTTTCCTTGAACTAACGGCCTTCTTATTAGACTGCATCCCCAAGACACCTGTTTGAATATATATATATATATATATATATATATATATATATATATATATATATATATATATATATATATATATATATATATATATATATATATATATATATATATATATATATATATATATATATATATATATACCTATATATATATATATATATAATTCATTTACGACATTTTTTACGCAAAAAAGGTCTCTTAGTAAAAATCGCTACGAGTAATGGTTCTCGAGATATTTGGAATCGAAATTATCAATACTTGTGATTATTGACATAAACAAAAACATGTTGACTAAATAGTTATTATACTGAAATAATACAATTGAAGTGTTTTTGTTCAACAGAAACTGTTTTG